TTTGACGACACCGGTTGCAGTTAAAAAACTAAAAAGTGGTGCCGCTGATCCAAACGACTTCCTGACTGAAGCACAAATAATGAAAAAACTTAGGCACCCTCGCCTACTACAACTTTATGCTGTATGCACAAAAGATGAACCGATCCTTATTATCACAGAGCTGATGCATCAAAATCTTCTACATTTTTTACAGGTTTCTAGTTCTTTTCCGTTGTTTGCCACTTTTTTATCCGGTAGTTGGATTTACTGTATAGTAAAAAAGAGGCTTTAATTCTACAGTAGTAAACAAAATAACAAATTTAAGATTCTTGTAGGGTCGTGGACGAGGTTGTTCTGTCGCGCAGTTAGTCGATATTGCTGCTCAAATTGCTTCTGGAATGTGTTATTTGGAAGAAAAAAATTTTATACATAGAGATTTAGCTGCACGTAATATTTTAATGTCACATTCATTATCTGTTAAGATAGCTGATTTTGGCTTGGCAAGATTGATGCGTGAAAATGAATACGAGGCCCGAGTTGGAGCTCGATTTCCAATTAAGGTACTGGTGTTTAAAAGATATTTCTAGAGAGCTCTAATTTTTTGCTTCTGTAGAAGAAAACGTCGAGTACAATTCGTTGACTACAAGTGATCAATTTTCAGTGGACAGCTCCTGAAGCAGCAAACTACAACCGATTTACTATTAAATCTGACGTTTGGAGTTTTGGAATACTTCTTACCGAACTTGTCACCTACGGCCGTCTTCCCTACCCCGGTAAAAGCATAGACGATCTTTTTGCACTTGAAAGATGTCAATTTCCGCTGTAAATTTCTGAAATATTTTCAAAACTACGCAGCTGTTACGCACCTAGAACTGTCCAAGAGTTTGCTAGCCCGACCTGTTGTTGTAAATATTGCTCACCAGTGTGACAAAACAAGAAACGTGATTTACACCGCAGATATGCTGGCTATTGAACAATAATAGAGGAATTTTGAGAAGAACACTGTTTGTTGAGTGACGCGAAAGAGTTTATTTAGTTAACTGGAAATACATAACTGTCTTGCAGGTATGACAAACGCTGAAGTTCTTCAGCAAGTTGAAAACGGTTATCGTATGCCCTGCCCAAGCGGATGTCCACAGGCGTTGTACGAAATAATGCTACAGTGTTGGCACAAGGAACCGGAAAAAAGACCCACTTTTGAAACAATTCAGTGGAAACTTGAGGACCTTTTTGCTGCCGACCCAACCGAATATAAAGAAGCTTCTTTAAGCTATTAATTACGTAAAATGTATACATTCAGCTAAGCGATATCATTTGATGGGAAGTATGATTACGCAAACACGTAAAAAAGCCCTCTGAAAAAGCCTGCGTTTGCTTGGCTGTGACGTCAATGGTTGACAATGTACAAAGTTTATTCCAAACCGCAAAATAAAACGTCATATCCTAAAAATGACTTGTGAAGAGGTACGAAACAAACCTCAGCCACATGGATGCTGGTTCTAAGCCTCACTTCTAGTAACCATGAAGCTCTTTTCCATTTAAACCTTGGCCAGATAATAAGCTAAAGATAGCAGAAACAGAGACTGTACGTCACCATATACTTGACACAACAGTTTATGAAAGCAATAGAATAAAGCTCAAGAATTATTTAATCTCATCAAGTATCAGTCAAGACGAATAATATGAAAAGCAGCACTCGGTTATGAGACGAAAGAGACTTCGGCATGAAGTATTACACTATCATATTTATCAGGTTTGATTACGGTTACAAAATATTAAATAGGTGAAAAATTAACAAGATATAAAAGCCACAAACTTCCTGTGCAGTAAGGCGTAATTAGTATCTATCATTCAGTAAAAAGACATTAAAACCATATAGCGTTAAGGATTCTGCAAGAATGCGAAAGGAAAAATCCAGAAAAACCTAACCAAGAATGCACTGTAAAACCCGACATTTACAGACGCGTAATTAAAAGCAAAACAAATGAATTTAAAGGTTTGAGAATACAAAATATAGAAATGATCAAGCTCCACAATCATAATTTCATTACTGTACAGCAACAGCCGTCAGATGTCTCTCTTCAAAGGCACGTTTTTCGGCTTCTAAGTTACCAAAAAGATTGTTATAAGCCCTTTTGAACTTTTCTGACTTAATGCCTCTGGTTCCTTCTTTAGCAGCCTCGTCCACTACCTAAAAATTGCATTTTATTTAAATAAAGATAACAAAGTCATTTAGCACGTCGACAGCAGTAGATATTTTTTTTTACTGTTTTCAGCAGCCAAGTTTTTTCGCTTCTGAAGGGGAAGGTGTCTCACATTGTTATCTACGTACTAGTAAGCCCTGTTTCTGATAATTTTACTTATTAATTTCACAGTCAAAAGAGATGATGTTATATTTTGAAACTACACTTAACAACTTCGACCACAAAATTTTAAAATTTTTCTGTTCATTTAGTTTGGTGTATAAACAGAACCATACTCTTGTCTTTTTCTTTAGCTTGCAAATAAGTTGTACCTTTGGAGCTTCTCCTTGGGAGGCGTAAAATTCCCGTAAGAACTGAGGAGGTTGTTCTCCAGCATACGTATGAGCGAAGAATTTTTGCATACGTAACCTTAGCTAAAGAGGAACACAATTTGTAAGCTGCTGGTAAAAGATTTTAAAAAATTCCAAGTTCAACCTCAAGTTTTCTTCACGTTTACAAATAAGGTATAAAAACTTCAAATTAATTACGTCTTTTATACGCAGGTTAATTTCTGCAACTCGTAATGAGCGCATCCTTTCTTCAGCCTGACGTATGTTACCAGGCTTTGTAAAGTCCTCAACATGAGGAACTTGGAATTTGCTGGCTTCCTGAAAAAAACGCGTGTAAAACTACCTAATCAGTCAAAATAATTTCCATTATAGCAAAAAAAAATTTATAGGTAATACCAGAAGTAAATTTTCTGCTTCCTTAGCTAACTTGTCAAGCGTTTCTTTTGTTTTGTCTTGATTTACTGAAAGCAATGTAAGTGGGCCGCATATAGTTCTTGGAAGTTCAATAGGATTTAAGCGTGACATTTCCAGGTCCAATAAACGCGACTGAAATCAAATATCAATGAACTCGAGCTCTTAACAAAAAAAATAACGACAACAACATTCAGGCGATCATAAGAGAAATAAATTATTGCCTTGAGTTGACGAATGCGTGACTCTGCGTATTTAATCACTTGTTGCTTATCAGCCAGCTCAGATTCCAGATATTCAATTTCTGCCATATGTGATGCGATAGATCCTCCCAAACTAAGAGGTGTGGTAGGTACAGATGAAACTGCGCTTTGAGCCATCGAGTTGTTAAGATTCTAAAGTAACAATTACGCTTAAAATGGACTGCCTGTATAAAAGAAAATAAGACGCCAAACTACCATAAGCAACGTCTTTTTACACATGTGTCGACTTCGTTCTTTTAGGTCCGCATTTTCTTTCTCTAAAACCGTTAGATCGCGTTGAAGTGCTTCCACGGTTTCGTCAAACTCTCTAAAAGACAGCAGTTCCCCAAAGGTACCAGTCAAAAACTTATTACTGTGAAACATACGTTCGTTTCTTCCTTAATTCCACCTCGAGCTCATCGCAACGCGACTGTAGCACTTGAAGGCGAACTTCATCAGCTTTATCTGACGATTCTATTTTGCTCTGTGCCATCTCCAGTCGTAACTATAAACTGCTAAATATTAAATATGGTCTTATCCAGAAAAAGGAGTGTTTATATTACCCTAAAATTGCTCAGATCCTCATTCTTGCTACGTATAGCTTTACGAAGTTCCGTTATTTCAACTTCTTTCTTCTCAACCTGCCATCGCAAAGATTCAGCCTCAACAGCATCCTGTTTACGAGCGTGTGCCCGCTCAAGCAGAGGAGGAAACGGCTAAAATCCAAGAAGAACACTACAATCATTCAACTTAAAAAACAGGTCTAAACTGGTTTGAACTGCATCATGACAAGATAAGTTGAAGAAAGCGAAGAATTTACTCAAAGATGTACTAGAACAGAACGGCGATTTGTTAGAATTAATAACCTTTTCTTCTGATTCCTTGATGTCCGAAGTCATTTTTTCCACAGCATTTGCAATCTCAGCCAATGTTGAACGTAAGGTATACAGATCGTTTCTTAAAATGTGTGCAAGTCAAAAAATTCTTAAGATAAGTATAAGTCGTTGCAAGGATAAAAGCACTCCAGAAACAAAGTTCTTGTCAAAAAAATTTAAAGAGAGCAGTATATAGGAAAAATTGTCTAAATAATCTCTGGATACTATCAACGACTTACTTGACGAGTTCATCACCTTCAGCTTCCTTACCCTTCCCATGTGTTTTCTCAATTGCACTCAACAACATTTCTTTCAAACGCTCCACCTCCAAACCTTCGACATCTAAGAAAAAAAACAAATGAGCAATGGACTTACCTGAATCTAAGCCCAATTATAAAAGAACAATCAAAAAACTATGAAACAATAAAACTAAAAAAACACTCTATCGAAAAAGTCGAACAAAGGTAATGCAGCCCAAAAACAGTAATATACCTGGCAACATGCTCAACTGTGTGCTAGCGACAGAACAGAATCGGTCTAGTATGGTTGCTCCTTTCTCAAGAGTACACGTTGCAAAAGTCAGTTGATCATCAACCTAAAAAAAACACCTATTAATGCAACCCAATCTAACTTGAACAAATGTGCCTACCTAATAATGCTAAAAAATAACACAATGACAACATAATAAATGATGAAAAGGCACTTCTTGAGTTAGGGCAAATTCTCCTTCAGATGGAACCCGATTTTTTACCCTGATCAATAACTGCTGACAGTCAGAAACTGCGGCCAGCAAAGCAGTTTCAAGCTGAGCTATTTCATTGTCTTCTTGATCTGGCTAGAAATAAGACATTCTAAATAACAGCCCAACTCCAAGTCATTCAATTTATGCATATATTGATATTCTTTTAAGAATAACTTTAAAAAATACTCAGAAGAAGACAACGTACAAAAAGAAAATATCCGACACGCTGAATATTTATTTTCAACCACTGCAAACCAGCTTCCAGTTGAGATAAGACGTCATTGAACAAAAGCCTTCCATCATACCACTCACTAGCCATATGTACAGAAAAGACATTCTAAAAGAATTATTGGAAAAAAATAACACAGATTACCGACTACTTTAAAGAACCTCTAGAAACCTGGAAATAAGAAATTGTTTTCTGAATGTTTTCTGTAGCTGTGTTTTCATCCAGTCTATCCATACGCAGAAGTTCTATATACTGATCAATTGCTCTCTCCTGTGAAGACATTTCAACGTGCATTTGAGATAATCTCGAAAGACGCTCCACAGAACAGCGTTGAATAGAACTGAAAAAATCAATGAGAATGCCTTAGTCCTACCAAGAGTTACTAAACTGAAAAAAAATTTATCTGTTTTTTAAAATTTGGTTCTTTAAAATACAATAAAAATTTTAATCCTTTATAACGTCTCTAATCACATCAAGATTACAGTTTGAAATAACTTGATTTCTGGAACTCCTAAACAGAAAAGCAGCACTTGTAAAATCAAGACGGTAGAAGAAAAAGACAGAAAGAAGTCTTCACCTGCCAAATTTGTGCACGACAGCGGTCAGTGCACTTAAAAAGTAGACAAATTTGGCAGAATGAGCCCACTGTTCAGCCTTGTGAGACTTTGTAACATGTTCACGACGCAAACCTCCCGGAACAGTTGGATACTAAAGGCTATTTCCATATTACAAAAAGAACTATAAACTCAGTGAACTGAATCTTGAAATTATTGAATGTTAGCTTTTCAATCTTATATGAATAACTTCTAAAGAACCTTTAAGTCGAGTAATTTCACTAAAGCAGACGCCTTCTTCGATAACCTCGGAAAAAGCGTATTCAAGATGACAGCATCGTTATCGCCTACAATCAAAACGTAGCCAAACAAAAGCTTATTCCAGCAAAAACTAGCTTCAATTATTTTCATAAAAGTAACCAAAATCGAAATGTATAATAAAAAATTTTGAAGGAAAAAGTTACACTTCAGTTTCCATTTCATTTTAATTTCAAGGTCACGAAGCAAAACTCTGAAACCCATTCCAATCCTTCCCTTAAAAAAAGCGACAGCGCTCAGAACTCAGAACTTTACCTCCTGGCTTGCTGAAGTTATCAGGCAGGAAAGCTTCTAAGTAGTTTGCACGTTGACGAATACTCTCCAGCTCCACAAACTTCATTTCTTTCTCTACTGCCTAGAACAGCACCAAAATGTAAAAACTAAAATTCTTCAAAAAAGTTACGCCAAAAACTAGAGATTCATCAGTGACTGTAAAACCCAGTTTCAAAAAAATACCTCAGCAAATGCACGATTAGCCGTAATTAAACCAATAGGAGCTCCAGAACCAGATTCTCCAGCTTCCATTTCTTGGATCTGCTCCTTCATACGAAGTATCTGAACATAAAGTTGCTTAATCTAACAAATATTTCAGAAAGAGAGTAGAAATCATAACAGAAGTAAACCAGTTCTTTGCTGCAACCAAAAAATTTTACTTGATCAGTATAATCTTGATTCATGTGGTTTAATTCTGAAATTTTTTGACGAAATTTTTGCACAACTTTATCGTGCTCTTCCGCCTGGTCTAAGTTTGCTTTTATTTGGCGATTCAACTGAAAAACAACAAATAAATTAAACCTTTTCAAATAACATTAAATAGAAAGAACCAATAACATTTATATCTTAGACCGTCAGATGGGTAATAAAGCAAAACGTTTTTATAATAACAAAAAGAGTAAGAAGTGATAATAAGTAGTTTATACATCAGCAATTGCGCACTGTGTTCCATCCAACTCTAAACGTAAGTCTTTCTCCGTCTCCTTCTGAGTTTCAATTATCTCTTCATCCATACCGCGCAAGGCTTCTAGATCTTCAATCGCTTCTTCCAATGAACTGCATACAAATGTTTAAAAATCAAAGATTACTGTTACAATAGAAACATTTTCTATAAACAAACCGTATTTTTTCTTCCATGCCGAGGTTCTTATCAGTAAGTTTTTCGATCATTTCTTCACTTCCCATTACAGCATCAACCTAAAAATTGTTATTCTGAAGTAATTGACTATTATTATTCTTATTATTATAATAATTATTACTATCACTATTATTATTACAGACAAACAGACATGAAGTACCATTAAGGGCAGTTAATGCCTCACCGTAAACCGTTTTACACAATCGACATTAAGATTAGGTATACAGTATAGTAATTTAACCTCACCGTCACATAGCACACTGCCTTCAACTGAAGTAGCAAAACCAAAAGTTTATTAAGTGCGCTCCCTACACTTACTGCTCCATCGCAGCTAACCTTTTGCTTTGCTTATCAGATATTGCTCTCAATGTTAACTTTCAGCAGACGCATAAAACAGGCATATATAACACATAATTCCCAAACTGGTAAAAGAAGACTATTTACTGATGTGTTTTCAAATTACCAGCACCAGTTTCTATAGAAAATATTTTGAGCAGTTCGTAAAAAAAAAAAAAAAGATATGCAAAGAAGATATGCACTCAGTGGTTCACGAACACATATATAGGCCATTCCATGCCAAGCGGTACACTTTTTTCCCTTCGTGTCTCAAATTTTTTAAAAATTTTACCGAATAGTAGAGTCTAAACCGGTATAAAAAAGCCGAGAAAACCTGAAAAAGCGAATTCCCCGTCAAATTATACCCCCTCAAATTTGAAAAATTTGCCAGGTTGCCGCTTAACGTATCAACCTTTGCAGACTCGTAATTTATCCCATTTTTGATAGAATTTAAGGATTTATAGATATATATATACGTTTGTAAAATATAGAAGGAAGTACCTGCTCACGCAGTTCCGTTATAGTTTCATTGGCTAAGGTCGCTTCTTGTTTCGCTTTCTCTGCTAACCTCACAAAAGCTGTATTTTCTTCTCTCAAAGCTTCGTTATCTTTAGTTACTTCTTGTTTATCTGCAATTGCCTGTCCTAATGCATCGCGAAGCCTAAAAAGTCTCTAGTTCTACTACCGTTGAAAGACAGAATTGCACCTTCCCTCAGAATTAGAGTGAATAACTAAGTCATTCAATTTTGATAGCGAACAAAACTCTGTTTTTAAGAACATCTCAGGCTTACTTCACAACTGCCTCACGTAACATCGAGTTCTGCTGTTCCAGTTGTTTTGCTTTTACGACAGCATTCTAAAATAAAAACCAAAAAAACTGTATTTTCACAATTTCTCTCAGTAAATTCATAAACAAAACTGCCTCTAAAAAGTGCAAATTTCACACGACTTTTCTTCGCCAGATTTTAAAAAAAAACTAAAAAAAACAGTAAAACTCCAGTTACCTGGTTTTCAGTAACGTCAGCCTGGCGTTCCATTTCTGACCTCAATATTTCCAATTCAATTTCTAGTTCTGCAACTTTTTCTTTCTGAGCTTCTAACTCAGCCTGTAAGGAAAAAAAAGAAAAGTTCAAACGAAAGACACCTATTATAACAACATCTAAAAGCATAAAATATGCAAAAATTAAAAAATATATGTTTAAGAAAAAATACTCGATAGATTTAAATAAAACTAAGCGCATTACTTGCAATATTTCCGCCTTTTCTTCCGCCATTTCGCGGTCTAGTGTCACCAACTCCAATCGTTCCTCAATCTCTGCAATCCCTTCGTCATCACTTTTCTTCATGCCTAATTCTCTAAGTTCCTAAACAAGTACCTCAATTAGAACTCAAAAGCAACAAAAAGAAACAATGATATGGTAACCAAAAAGCTACCTGCTCCCTTTCCTGAAGCTTCTTTTGTAGCTCCTTGTGAGCCTCACACATTTTCACCTTAAATTCCTCAAGCCCTTGAACCTGAATCCGACACCTTTCCAACTCCAAAAGTTTTACATGATCTTCTCTCCTCTTCTGCCTAAAGATGTACACCTCCCTCAAGATCTCAACAAAATCAAAGAAAAAAAAAAACAAAAAACGAATTCACTCACTCATAACAGATTGTAACGTAAAAGATAATTTGTATATAAAAAGTGCGTTTTCGTTATGCACTGATCAATTAAAAGTAGTTTTAAAAATTGATAAAACTAAACAAAAGACCCAAAAACCTAAGGGTTTCCAATTTCTCAGATAAATCTTTGTGCTGAATTCGCAACCATTCGAGTTCGTTACTAGCATCCATGTCTGGAGGAAGTGTAGGTGGAACAAATGCTGGAGAAGAAGCAGAAGACTGAAACGGATAACTGAAGCTGTCAATAAAAAATTTAAGAATTTCCTACATTTTCCTAAATTCCTGGTATATAGAAAATAAGGAAATTTTTAAAGCAGGTACAAATACATGATGGTTTTCCTCTCCCTTAACAACAAAAAAATAAGAAACAATAACTACCTCTTCCATCTTCTTCACCATGTCCTTCACACCTTCTCTAACTACAGTATTTTCATCATCGTCCTTTTCAACCTTTGCTTCATCAACTGAACCGGCTGCACTGTTAATCGTTGCCAACGATGAATTTTTCGCAGACACCGACTGAAAAGTATCAGAATCACTTAAATTTAAACTGTTTTTAGAAGGCACTTCAGAAGCTTATCATAACTCTCACCAACATGACCAAAGAAAATAGAAAAAAAAGATATTTTTATAAAAACAGTTTGACAAATGTTGCAGAACTCTCACCGAAGAACCTCGTGCAATGTTTGAAAGACGCGACGGAGTATTCCTTAATTCCACTTTTCCAGTGCCTGCCTTCGCTTCAGTATGATGTGATCCTTTGGCATGTGGAGGCGTTTTATTTGTTCCTGTACCAACACTTGCCACACTTTCCATACTTTTCAACTTTTCTGTTGATGACGACGGCGTCATACTTGGAGTACTCTAAAATTCTAATAAAAAGCTTTGATTGAACATTCTGTCATAAAAACAAAACTGATTACGAAATTCAGAGTATTAATTTTTTACTCGTATCACATATTCATATCTAACAGAGAGAAGCCATACACTGGTGCTTTTTTTCTTTATTGCTGCAAGATCGGTACGAGAAGACGCACTAGGCATACGCAAACTAGATGGAGGCTGCATACGACTTTTACCTTCAGGTTTTACCTTAAAATTCTTTTCGGTCTGTATAAAAACTTAAAATTTGACTAGAAATTTGAATCAAGATTCTTAAAAACAAATGCGGAAAAAAAAATGAGTGCCTAGTGGCAAAAAAGTTAAGCTAGAAATGAAAAAAATGAACAAGAACTAGAAAAAAAAACAAAAAAAAGTGATCATTTAGAATTTTAAGAGCAGATATGAAACACAGCAGAATAATCACCTGAGCAGGCCGAAAAAAAATTCCGTGTTTGTTTTCACAACGGAAATATTCGACCCCCTTGACTGTTCCATTATTCAGTCCTCTGGGTTCGTTAAGTATAATGCCAACCCAAATGCCATCTGCGAACTGTGTCTCGCCATAAAAAGCAACTTCTCCCTTCCCACGATCTGAAAAGAAGCTTGAGAAAAAAATGTACAAATAAGAGTAAGATGAAGATAGCGAGAGTTATATCTAAAAAGATAATTTAAAATGCGGTTGCCTGTTTCAACTTTGGCCCCAACTTCAAATTTACGATCCATCGACCGACCTAACACACTTTTTGCATGTGTCCCTGAAAATAGAAAGCTCAGAAGATGATCAAAAAGACTAAAATAAACTAATGGAACCATTACAGCCTGCGACCTGCCATACTAAAAGATTACGACAGCATTAATCTCTGCTAAAAATGACAACTAGTATGAAAAAATAATTGAATTTTTTTAACCTGGATTTCCCACTAATTCAAGATTTCAAATTCAATTAATAAAAAATTCAAATTTTTTTAGACAACATTTAAGCGAGGGTTAGATGAAAAAGCACTACATCTTCCTCACAGACCGCAAAAAAATTATAAAAAGTAAAACTACTTAATCACATAAATAAAAACCTTCAGTTCTCGGAAACTCATCCAAAAATAATTTGAAGATAATTCCTTTAACTATAGTTCCTGACAACGAACATAAAAATAAATGCCGACTGTAGTACATTCTTTAAGCTTTGAAACACCCTTCACATACTGTTTTTTCTTCTAATTTCTACGAATAATGCATCTGTACTGCATCTACTCCCTACCCGTAGCAAATTCTAGTAATTTCTTTGCAGGCAAAACAAACTGTTACCACTTCTGAAAAATCTTCAACCCCTCAGCAGAGAAAAACAATCCAGTGCATAATCAAACTAGATTACAAAGTGTTGCCTTCACTTTTAATATCTCGTCCAGATTCAAGCAGCAAATAATATTCGTCTATATTTTTAAGGTTTATAACAAAAAAAAAAAAGTGACCTCCTCGAGCCAAATGAACAGAATCCGCAAAATTTCCCAGAGAAAATCAGTATTTCTCATTCAACTTTTAAGCTCCTTTCCTTAGTTCACTTACACATCTTCAACTGGCTTTAAAACCAAACTTAGGGTTACTGTGAAAACAGTTTAGTTCTTTTTCTGAAATCCCTGCCTATTTTTCTTCGTCTACACCTGGCTTTTAAACACTGTCAGAAACAATTTTTGAATGAAAGTTCGAGAGAATTTCACACAATATGCTGATATCCCCATGCCTCCTTGAAATCCGTTTTATAGCATGGTGAGGAAGAACTGAGATCGAGCAGAGTACGGTCCAAAGGGTAACTGATAATTTAGCCAATCGCCTTTGTTTAACCAACGGCATCAACAAGACGTTCTAACGCCCTCTTGATATGACGTCTCCTTATAGGAAACCAAATAAACCAACTTCTTCAATTGTAATCTATCCAAGATGATTTATTTAAATAGTTTTTTTTAACCGGCCGACCGAACCGAGCTCTAAAAAATCATCCAAAGTTTTCAGACGTTCTCGTTCTCCATCCAGCGTCACACACCAACCCAAACTGATGCATAAGAGTATAGTAATAAAGAAAAAGATAGTGAATCCTTCCGCTTCGCTTTAAAGTGACCAAGTTGTCTGGTACTCAACGTCCGCCAAACTAATCATCCGTAACGTTGACGACACAATAAAGCTTTTTCAACTATAATCACAAGAAATTCAAGCTTAGAAGCAATGCTTCATGATGCTTCTAAGCCCCGACTTCTAAATTAGATATGAAAACTGAAAAGTTGCTTTATTGGTGTCTGCATTTATTCAGCTTGAATGATATAAAATAACTACCACAGAACCCTAAGAGGTAGTTAAGAAGTAGCCGTATCGGTCAGTATTCAGTATTAACAAATCCAAGTTTTGCTGAACGCGAAAGTAGCTTCTAATCCTGCAGTCAAACCAAAAAGGAATCCCTAAAGACAAGTAACAATGACGTCCTTCTATCCAAAGTGTTCTCATAACTAGTCCGGATACAAGACTGCTATTTGAAGCTTTGAGGACAAACAAAAACACCTCATCTTCAGAGACTTATAAAGTTTGAATAAAGCACTAAATACTGAACCTATTTTCATGCTCATCATTGTACGCCCACCAATCTGCAAGGATAATGATTACCCTAAAGACAAGAGTAAAAGATTTAAATGTAAAGTAATCAGAAGTTTGAATACCTAGTCAGTGATCAAATAAAACAAAGCAAATTACGCCTCTACCAGTTCCTCTCAGTACAGTTTGGTCCTCATCAGACAATCAGTACCAAATATTAATCAGTTAGCGTAAATTTTTCAGATATTATAGCTAAAAACAATCTTGCCTATTCAGTTACCAGCTGTAAATTTCAATATTTATTTTTGACCTTCTTATCTCAACCTTCCTCTTACCGTAAAAGACAAGGAAAAAAAGTAATAATTATTGCATATTATTTGATCTGTTAACGCGAACAAAAAAAGCAAACGTAAAACCCACCATACGGGGTTAGCCAGTCATCCGGCGGATGCGAACTTAGTTATGCTCAACGAAAAAAAATGCCATTTTTACTTTTTCCTTTCAATTATTATAATAATTTTTTCAACTTTTCTTTAACAAGTAAAAATAATATAATTTAAAATAAATATAAATGAGAGTGTGACCAATACCTCGTTTTTTCATCATTCTTTTTTGATGATAGTAAATGAAAAGTTGCCTGTTTGAAGGAAGCGCAGCGCACAGCTGTTTTGTGGGCACTGTTTGATGGTGTGTTTGTGTGTGTTTGTGTATATATATATATATGTATATACATATCTATTCTGTGAGTGTGTGTATTTGTGCCTATTTACTACTTAGTTACTCAGAAAATTCACGGCGCTTAATGTCTCTGTGTTTATGTATGCTCTGCTGTTCTCAGACAACTTTTACATTTACAGTTTTTTTTTTTTTTT